TTGCACCGCGCCGCTGGACTCTTCCTGGGGCCCTTCCCCAGGCGGGTGTGCCGGCGTCCTCTCCCACCCCTCCCACGCCAGATTTCTCATGGGAGCTGTGGCAAATGTGCAGGGAAGCCGCTCGCTTCCCGCCGCTGAGAACCTGTCAGGATTTGTCCCGGGGGGGAGTTAGCGATAAAAAGCTGCTCGAGCGCCTCAAACCTCTCCCGACGGCATCAGTTACAGCGTCTTACCCCAAAACTCGCCGTCTGTCGTTTACGGGTTTCAGTCAACTGGTTGCAGTCTGACAGCGGATCAAATCCAAGTTAGGACTGTAGGGAGCCAGAGCTACAGCTGAAGAAGAAGGGCAAAAGCCCCCATCATTCCAGACCAGTCCAAGAGCAGTTCTGTCGCTGCCCTGAAACCAAAGTAAGTCATCAGCCACCTCGAGCGCTCCACTCCGGCGCCGGCTCCTCTCCCACCTCCCGGTTTCCTCCTGCACAAGGCTGCTCTGTCAGGGCCCAGCGCTGCTTCTTCCCAGCAGTTCTCCCTGCAGACAGCGGTCACTAAAGCAAAGCAAACCAAACCCTTAGCAGACGCGTGGAGGGAAAAGAGAAGTGTTACACGCTGGGGCACCTGTGACTCCGTGCTATTCCAGCCTCTGTCCCGTGCCTGCGTTACGCAGAAGCAGCAGGCCTGAAGGGTCACACTTCCATCTGGCCTCCAGAGAGTAAAAAGCCATACGGAATGGCTGAGCAGCCAGAAATTGTAGAAATCTCTTCACTGACTTGGTGCTTAAGGGAAAAAACCAGCAGCAAGCACTGGCAAATGAGAGGGAAGGATGGGCAGGACTTTGCCGTGTTCTGCAGAGAGGGCAGGCCAGGAGTGGGCCCCATGGGACAGAGCGTACATCAGCCTGGGCTGAGCCGCCCGCGCGAGGGGATGGAGGAGAAGGGCAGCACACGTGAACGGTCACTGCACAGAGCTTCCCAGACCACGTCCTTTTTGTCCGTGGTCCATAGAAACGGCAACGATATGCTTCCAGCGAGCGGAGGCGCTGGCCTGACCGGGCGGGAGAACGAGAGGTTTCTCAGGAACGTGGCACCAGAGGGCAGGAATACCGATGGGGGCAGAGAGTGAAACGAGAGAAGGGGAAGACGAACCAACCCAGACTGGTCCCAGCTGCGTTGAAGCACACGGCTAAGCAGCCAGGATGGCTGGGAGCAAAGCATGCTCAGCCAGGACCGAGAGGTGTTCCGGTTGGCAGGGTCATTCTGACGCCATCGTCTTGCGTTAACGCGGGACAACTTGAACCTGTCAAGCAAACCACACTGCCCGCCGCCTTCTCAGGCTCAGGTTAAAACAACCAACCTTACTGGCTGCAAAGTCAAGGTACAACAGGCTGTACTCAGAAATTACTCTTTTGAAAGGCTTTCCTACCTCAGCAAAACCACTTTACCAACTTAAATTGCGTTAGGGCTCTGAAGACACCTATTTTGTGGAAGGTCTGGGTGTGTAGGAGTTGACGTTGCTTCCGAGACATCTGAGCGGCATAAATAAATGAGCACGTTCCCGCTTCCTGAGCGGAGGGACGGCACTTCGGGAACGGGACTGCAGTAAACACGCTGCCGAAGCGGTTTTTCTCTGCCCCCGCACGCGGGCACGCTGGCCCCGACACCCTTCACTCGGTACGAAGTCTTCAGCTTGGCAGCACGTGCTCCGAACGGAGACGGTTTGGGGAGCCTCTTCAACCTGCGTAATGAGATTTGGATTTTAAGGTGGATGGATTGGGGTGTCATTAAACAAAAGCATTTAAGAATACTGGTACGAGACTTCTAACTGTGTTAGGCTTTCGAAACAGGCCCTTCTCCACCCCAGTGGAGAAGATGACTAGTGGCTTAGTCATCGTAGGCTGTGTCAAACTATCTGCAGCTGTCCCAGAGAGAGAACTGCACCAGTGCTTCTGGCATCTTACCCTCTTGTTTTAATGCCGATTCCCTTTTTTCTTTTCTTTTAGCCCCAGAAAAAGCTTCCTCATTTTCTCCTCTATCTGAAGCCAGGTTAACATTACAAGATTATGTTTTTTTATAGGTGTTAGCGGGCCTTGATTTTAGGTAACAGTAAGCCAGAACTAGCACTGCCATGTCCCCCTAGAGCCTTGTTCCTGCAGTCTCTGTTCCCACACTGGGAAGGTAAGACCGGACGCTTAACAGCTGCGCCTACCCTGATCCGTAGTTCAGATGAGCAGCTCTCCCAGCAGAGCACAGTGCCTGCTCGGAGCCCACAGATGGGGATCCCTTGGGGTGTAGCTACATCTGGAGCAGCTCTCCAGGAGCACACCCCAGGCCCTCGAGTGGAGCAGGTGGGACTGAACCCGAGCACCTCCAAAGTGCATTCAGGCAGACATTAAGTCCTCAGGACCAGCAAATTGGAGGTGCAGCTCTGATCCTACCACACAACACCGATCGCTACTGTGGGCTTAAGCTTCCCCTCGCCCACAGTTCCCCGGCTCCCGATTCGAAATTGGCAGTTGGTTCCCAGCCAAACAGCAGCAGCAGCAAAACAGAACCCACCTGATCCTGCTAGAGAGTTTTTGCTAGAGGAAGGAGGTCAGATGCCTTCAGCTCTCTGTCAGCATGCTCATGGAGAGGTTCTTCTGATGGGCCTCTGGAATCCAGTGGAAATAAAAATCACTATCAGTCTGGCCAAAATTTTTTACCAGGAAGTTGACACCTGAGTCATCCAGAAAAGGAAATGATGAAGTTCTGTAATTAAACAGGCAAGAGAACCATATTATAGCAATAAAAAAGGAACACCTGCCAGTAATTACCTGAGTCAATCTGACCAAACAACTGTTAAGGGGTAACACCCAAACATGCTGACCACTGGACCTTTAATAAGAGATGGGAATATTCTTTTCTTTCCATCTCCTGCCAGTTTATCTATAACCTTGATCCCTGACGCTGTGCAAAGATGCACATGCCGTGCGGTGATGTTTAGTCTTTTATGATGATGTATGATATTTATGACGGTACATGAAGTACATGATCTATATGATATACACCAGCTTCTTCAAACTTCATCTGAAAACGGCATACACGATTTTTCAAACACCTCTTCGAGCATCCGTGCAGGTTTAT